ACAGCCCGGCCAATTAACAATCAAATGTCGGTTATACAGTTTAACTTTATATTATGCTACATAGGAAATATAATCGATCTGTATCTACTTAGGGTTATACACACTGCTCATTATCTTGTTATATGCTGTAGCAACAGCTAATAGTACTAGATATAGCTTCGGACTTTGAAATAAGATAGGGCTAATGTAGCAAATTGTTAAGCCAATGAAACCAAATTGCTGATTTTGTAATTTAAAACTCGTAAGCGTTACTCTCTAGCGTTATGGTAAACCTAATTAGAGCTAGACAAAATTGTTTAACTCCATAATACTATGTTCAACTAACACAAAATAGGAATAGCAAAGAGTAACGGCAATGAGTAACGGCAATGCGTAATGGCAATGCGTAACGGCAAAGAGTAACGGCAAAGAGTAACGACAAAGAGTTCAAATATTACCCTATTGCAATGTGGCATTCTTGTATTCTGTACTACCATTTGTTCTGTTGCAAAAGACTATGAAGAAATGGCCGTCCTTCCAAAAGGCCTCACTTAACATTCATCATTCGTCTGATTGACCTACACTCCTACTACAGTACATTTTCTCTATCCTCTTAACAACATGTCGAGCCCAAGCCCATTTACAATGATGAATCAGTCACAATTTGAGCATCCGCTTACCTCTGACACTGAGGATATCAACTCGCCTTTCGAGCCAGCACTTATCTTCTCCCAAGATGATGTACTGAGTGGAATTGAAGCTCCTCTTGATGAACTTCTTGAAAAACTACCCAAGTCTCCTAATAATCGATATGTTATATGGAAGGAGGATACCGCTAACGAATGGCATCAATGGTGGACTGCGAAGATTTCAAACAACATCAATCGAGAGATATTCCGACATATGGTTTGGACAAGGTCGAAGAGGTCCTTAATATGGACTCAATTCTACCAAGGAGCTGAGGTCCGAACTGGCAATCCTAAGGTACTATGTCAGTTGTGTTGGAGGGCTTTTGCACACCCTAAGCTTCGACAAGGTGGGAGTAGCACATCTACTTTAACCCGACACACCAAATCTGGCGCTTGTAGTAGAAAGGATGGATCGCAAACTCATTTACACTTAGTAAGTTATCTATCCAGTGGTCTAGAGTAACGTTCTAGAGTAACGCTAATGACCTTCTTTAGCTGCCGCGTGCGCATTTGGAAAGGAATACCATACAGCCTTTCACACATACAGCATGGCGAGAGCAGTTGATTATAGCCATAATTTCATCAAGCCTCCCTTTTCGAATAGTGGAGAACAAGGAGGTGCAAAAGGTTCTAAACATGTTGAAACCCGACCTGGAAATTCCACACCGGACAGTTATACGCAAAGAATTAACAATGCAATTTAACAACGTCATGGAGAAGCTACTATTGGATTTACCGCCTATGGCAAAGGTTTCAATTGCCCTTGATGGATGGCAAAGTCCGTTCAAATTAGCGTTCTTAGCAATTACTGTGTATTATATCACTGATGATTGGCAATGGAGAGAGGTGAGCAGATTATAACTTATATAATAATATATTAACTTACTAACATACATCTTATAGTGTCTTATTGGTTTTGAGCCAATGACTGGAGTCCATTCAGGACAAAATATGGCAGCTGTTGTACACAATGTACTGGAACAATTCAATATTACGGGACGACTTTTTTGCGTGACAACTGATAATGCATCAAACAATGGAACAATGCGCAAGGAACTTGAGAGCTACATGAGAAGTACTACACAAGAAGTAGAGTGGAGTAGTGATGCAACAAAAATACCATGCATGGCGCATGTTATACAGCTAGTTGTAAAAGCTATGCTAAAGGCCTTCAATGTCGACATGGCTGAAGAAGTTATAGATGTTACTGGTGTTTCAATTACTGATGATACGACAGTCACATCAGCTATTAGAAAGGTTAGTCCATGATAGTAACGCTTGATAGTGACGCTAACTGACGTCAAATACACAGATACGCACTCTTAGCAATCTTGTGAGCAGGTCTGCAAAGAAAACTGAATTATTGCTCCAGAAGCAATCTGATATAAAAGCAAAGAGACTACTGCGGCTAAAACGGGATATTGATATACGCTGGAATTCTACATATGACATGATAGTCCGAGCGATAAGACTACGCATCCCAATTAAAAGTTGGCTTGAGGAACAGATTATTAAGGAGCCTCATCTTGATCAATTCGCATTATCACCAACCGACTGGAAAAAACTAAAATACTTAGTCGCTCTTCTGCGGCCCTTTGCAGAATTTACTCATCTTATTGGAAACACGAAAGACACTACAATCAACCATACATGGAATGTATACAATACATTATTTGACCATCTTGATGATATTAATCAAAAGCTATATAACAAGGATACAGCATCTAATCCTTGGGTAGACGAGTTTACTGCTGCTATTACTGCAGGTGTTGCAAAGTTAAGGCACTATTATACTGAAACTGGTGGTCCTGTTGAACAGACGTATGCTCTTGCTGCAATTCTTGATCCATCTCAGAAACTGGACATTTTTAACGCTCCTGAATGGGACCGTTCCCACTCAAAGAAGTACCGCCAAATATTCTTAGATTACTGGAAGGCTTACTATCAAAAAGATTCGAGGGACCAGCATGAGGCAGTACCGCCTTGCCCCTATACACCAACAAGTCTTAATGCGGTATTTCGGATGAACCGGCAGCTACATAAAGGGTGGCAGAGCCCATCAAGTACCAGCTATAATGAAGCTGAGCGTTATTTAAATGCGCCAGTGGTTAGTGCTGATGCAGATACTCCAGTGCTCCTAGTGTGGAAGACCTTAGAGCTCTCTTACCCTTCAGTTGCGAAGATGGCAAGGGATATCCTTGCAGTACCAGGTAAGCTCCTACAGTAACGGTTAAGAGTAACGCAAATATCTTACAAATCGCTTTAAACAGCTACTGGTACTGGAGTTGAGCGCATATTTAATATTGCCCGCGATATCCATGAATACCACAGGGCACAAATGAGTACGGCTACAGTTCGAGAGTCCATGATTGTTAAACACTATCATAGGTATAAGTGGGAACTTGATAATCATTGGGATAATATAGACCATGTATTTGGCGCTCCTGACCCAGACTCTATAATTGAGGACTCTGATCGACAAGTTGCTATGACGATGGTAATATCATCTGACGAGGAGGATGCTGAACAAGACCTACCAGACCCATTAACGCCACATAGAGCTACACAAGGTCGCAATGGAAGATTGGAAACTCAGAGGAAGCGAAATTTTGGGGTTCTAAATAAGGACCTTCAGAATGATGAAGCCTCCATTGATACTCCTCCACATTCGCAACGACTTAGAAGGTAGAGGAGGGTACTATTCAGATGTGGGTTAGAGTAACGGCTCACAGTAACGGAATATATCACTAATTAGCCTTATATAGCATTTGGAACCAGCTTGAACAATATATTATGTTAACTACTGCGATAGATACCAACCTTTGCGCTAGGTGGTAGGAAGGCTGGCCTCCCAAAGTCGACACAAACCTGTGTGCGATGGCGGTGGTGGTGATGGTAGGGAAGCCACTGTAAGCTGATGCATTCTGAGACATACGGCACTTATAACTCTAATGTAATTACCATAATTTATTATCTATATGATAAATTTATCCTAATTTCTATCAATATACCGTTACTATATACCGTTACTCTTGGTCACAGGACTAACATCGTGATCTACAAGCTAAATATACTAAACTTCAGTTCGGGCTTTTTAAAAAAAAGCTCGGATGGTAAAAAAGCCTAGACCGAACCACGGTCTGGTCTTAACCCTAGAGACTGGACCGAAGTTCAGTCCGGGCTTTGAAAAAAAGGAGGACCGAACCACAGTCCGGTCTTAACCCTAGAGACTGGACCGAAGTTCAGTCTGGGCTTTGAAAAAAAGGAGGACCGAACCACAGTCCGGTCTTAACCCTAGAGACTAGACTGAAATTCAGTCCGGGCTTTTTAAAAAAAGGAGGACCGAACCACGGTCCGGTCTTAAATTTAAGGACTGGAAACTCATATAAGCGGTCCGGTCCAGTCCAGTCCGGTCTTTACGGTCCGGGCCGGCCAGTCTATTCTCATGTGTGATGGGTACCACCCACAGATGGGCTGATACACCGCCCATCATATCCTAGCTGTCTATCCAACATCATGGCCTGGCCCCCGCCCGGCCAAATAAATCCGTCATCTTGGCCACCGTCTTGGTCAGGACCGAGAAATTTACCTACTACCTGGGTCTTCCTGTCCCCCAGGTCGCGGCTGGAGAAACAGGGGCCATATTGGGCGCTGTTATAGACTTCTCGCACGTGGAGCCTATGCAGGTTTGAAGCTTTGCTCTACATGTCCTGCATGCTTGGACAAGCATATTATCCTAGATAATTCCTTTTCGAAAGGTATAAGTTGTGTTCGAAGCAAGTGCATGGAAGTGCTCACCTTCCGGATAGCTTTTTTTGTCTCCTAGCCCTGCTTGTAGAGTTAGCTTCAGCTTGCAGCTTTCGAGGGCGCTTTCTTCTTATTACGCGGTGAGCGATTGGGGGGTGGAGGTAAACGTAGATCCACATTATTACTATTACTTCGCCGAGCCGACTGGCGCTTCGGTAGTGCTGTCTCTCAGTTGGGACTGAAGCTGTTCATGTCACGTGTTCGATATTCTCATGTAGATGTCTCACATATAGAACTATATAGGCTTAGTTTACTCACCGAGTGCAACATCCTGGCGCTGGCTCAGGACGTTGCTCTCCAGACAATATATATTCTATTGAAGCCATTCTTGATATATCAGTTGGTTGATCGCTCCAGTGATTTGTACCCTAGCGCCCAACTAAGACTGTCCCTTCGTATGGGAGCATATCGAACTCAGCATATCGAACTCAGGCTGTTTACCAGCGAATCTCCGGCTCGCCCTCAGTGGTTCTTGGCTAAAGTTGTGCTCGCACAGGTTCCCGGCTGACCTCAGACGGTTGATTCTGTGCTTTGTTTGACTTGAGAGGTGATTCCACATCAGGTTTATTAGGCTCATCAGTCGCGTTTGCACCTCGTCTCGATCATTTTGGCCGGCGATTTGGAGATGAGTCCTCTATAAGCACAGCTTGATGTGACAAATTGCCGCCAGTGGTTATATTTCGGTTGAGCCTCGTTTTCTTTTCAATTCTGTTGCTACTGCTCCTGTGTAAATGGCCCTTCGGCTAGCTTGGGGGGGTGGGGGTAATGGAAACCCGTGGTGAATTCCGCTTTTGAAGTAATTGTGTTAATTTTGGTCCTCAAGAGGCGCTGGCGAAATACAAGGTACCAAAGCGCCCTTGTGCCCATAAAGTATTTCGCGCCACCTCTCAGCGCTTGGCCATCCTCTCGTTCTCAATTATTTCTTCCGAAGTGAGGCGAGGGAAATCAGCGGGGAGATATTCGGGGGTCGCATCAGAGTCGTGTGAGGGCATAGGTGGTGAATAACGGTAGTTGCGAGGCACATATTCGTTCTCCTCAGCTAAATCGTTGTAGCTGTTCAAGCCATAGACGTATTTGTGTATCGCAATGGCCACGTTCTTGAAAACAGGATCCGCTCCTTCTCCGAAAGATACGTACGGAGTTTCTTCCACTGGAAGAGCTACTGAACGTTGCGACGGCGAGGTCGAGTTTTCTCGAGACTCCCGTTCAAGACTTCCATCAATATCAAAGCCTGTCTCTCGAGAACGCCCCTCAGTCAACTTATGCATGCCCATTATTGCTGCCTGTTCCATGCTCTCGTTCTTTTCAGGGACGATCTTCGTCGGGGCCATTTTCTGAAGCTGTAAATGCGACATGACACCGCATTATCATGTGTTGCTCAATACTGCTCGCTAGAGGCAAAGTTTATTTGCGACTGGCACTATTAGGCCTATGGGTCATTAGATTGGCCTTGACCGTGAGACTTTGGCGCCGACGGGTCGTTCGAATGGTCGTGGGTCCTGCGTGATCTTGTTGGTTGAAGGTTTGGTGAGCTGGGCGCCAATGGATGGCGATGACTACAGAACCGTCAATAATTGGATGGGAGAGAGGGTCTTCGAAACATGTTGTTTCACACAGTAGTAAGTAAGGCTGGCCAGGCGCCAGAGAGTTCTGATGCCTGGTATATCATGGGCATCTCGCAATTATCATTTTTTTTTCTCTCTCTTTCAAAATATCTCCACAACACATACGTTTATAAAATCATGGACGATCCTGATGCCTTTTTATACCTCAAGGAATCACTTTGGCCGCTTCCGTGATTGTGGATCTACCTGAGAACAGTAGGCTACAGGTCGTCGCACCGGAACAATCTCCCACACAAGTGTCAAATTCTCCTGAGGCGCCAGAATCACCCAGACCACACGGAGCCAGTTTTGAAGATGATACTTCAACTCGCGAGCCAACTCCATGTGATGACGATGGTCGAGTTTTCCTTAAACTCGGATTTAGAAAGAAGCCTCGGGATACTTCGCTAGGATTTGTGTTCGGCCGCTTCGGTGCTGCCGCAAACTGTTGGAACATGGGATGTTCCTGATAGTACGCTGCACAGCGTAATCGTTGGTTCTCAAACCACCGCCTGGAGGCGGTTGGCGAAAGCGAACTGGGACGCGAAAGCGATTGTGGGACACTTCGGGAGCGGACTCGCGACGCGACACGACCGACCATGAACATGACCGACAACGAGCACAACTACAACCACAACTATGCCGGTAGTTGAAGTAAATAAAAATGAAGCTCTTTTAAATGCCATTGAATTTTTAAATGAAAACCCAACAGAGAAGAGTGCTACAGTAGCACGGATGTACAGAGTAAACCCAAGTACGCTCCGGACTATACGACTACGACAACGACGCGCATCACCACAACGCACCGCTGTGCCACGCGGAGGCCAGAACAGAGTACTGTCTGATGTACAAGTTACAGCTATACAAAGATACATCCAACGCTCGTACGAAAATGGGTACGGTGCAACTAAGCCTATGGTGTTCAGTGCCATCTGCCAACTACATGCAGCAGAAACTCCAACACGTGCACCACCATCACAACGGTGGTTCCAGACATGGATTAAGACACAACAACACAACTTCCATACAATAAAAACCCGGCCAATTGAAGCAGCACGGGTTGCATCTCATGAAGTATCAGCTATTAAAGAATGGTTTTATGAATTTAAAGATGTGTGTAATCAACTAGATATTACTGCAGGTGATATCTACAACTTTGATGAAGTTGGATTCTGTGTAGGAATGAGCACCGGTGAACATGTGTTGGTACCATCTGCAGTAAAGGAGGTAAGTTGTTTCTACTTATCTTACTTTATATTATTCTAATATTTATAGCTTTATATACAAGCTCCAGAGAACAGACAAAGTCTTACAGTTATAGAGACAATTTCAGCTGCTGGCATTGCACTTCCACCGTTCCTTATTATACAAGGAAAATTACACATGGAAAGTTGGTACCATGACAATCTACACGGTGATGAGAAAGTTGCAGTATGCGATTCCGGATATACAAACTCTGAGCTTGCAATGGAATATCTACAGCATTTTATTCAACATACACCGTCTATAAGAACGAAATTGTTAATAATGGACTCTCATGTCTCACATGAAGTTCCAGAGTTTATAATACTTGCACATCAACACAATATACACTTACATGTGTTTCCGTCTCATCTTATGCATATTCTACAACCGCTAGATGTTACTGTGTTTGCACAATATAAACATTGGCACCGACGTGCAATTCAACAAGCAATCCGGAATTTTGATACAGATTATAATGTTATATCTTTCTTTAGAGACTTGTCTACTATCCGTAAGCAGACATTTACAAAGGGTAACTGTATCAAGTCTTTTAGAGAGGCCACCTAACTATGAAAAGATTCAAGAGAAGGTTGCTATATATGCAAAACCAGAAGTTTTAGAAACACCACAACGTGCATTTCAAGCAAGTTATGATCTTTCAACATGGAGTCAAACATTTGATAGGATCCTTAGTTCACCGTCACGGCAAAAGTGGGCATCTTCTTATACTGAAATCCAAACTCAGTTAACAGAGGCTGAGCTGTTCCAGTCAGAGCTTGTACAAATTACTACTATTATGACTGAGCAACGACAGCGGAAGGTTAGAAGTCGGAAATCTATTCAAAAAGGTGGTGCTATTACAATTGAACATGCACGGCAAAGGATTTATGAGAAGAAGGTAAAGGAGCAACTTTTAGAAGAAGCACGGGAGAAAAGAGAGAGAACACGCATGGTGAACGTTGAGCGTAAGATGCAGCTCCGTGCTGGCATCGATGCACGGAAGGCAGAACGTACACGGAAAAAGGACCTACATGAATTTCAAAAAAGTAACCCAGACACGGAGCCACCAATTGGCTTACGTACAGAAATCATTGACCCGGACGTTACACAGAAGAAACGTGAGGAGGAGGAGGAGGCGGACCGACTGTTAGCCATCGAGGAGAGTGGGTACGTGAACTTTGCAGGCTTGGACTACGACATGATTCACGATGCAAGTGACGGTGGCTGTGATGATCAATCACTGCCTGACAATATTGATCCAAATCTTTTTTAATTATTTAATTCTATAACTTATATATATTTACAGCATTGTTACGTTGTCAGTCGTGTTCATGGTCGGTCGTGTCGCGTCGCGAGTCCGCTCCCGAAGTGTCCCACAATCGCTTTCGCGTCCCAGTTCGCTTTCGCCAACCGCCTCCAGGCGGTGGTTTGAGAACCAACGATTAGATTGTATACTGGATGTATATAAGGGCTCCGCCCGCCCGTAGTTACTCAATCAAGTCGTCAAACTCCAATTATGTGTTCAACACAAACCCGACAATCCCAGACAAGGGCTCATTGCTCCCGATATTATAATCCCTCCTAGCTCCGATATCAGCAGGATGAAGTTCCGCATTCATTACAATTTGAGCAGTGGAGTGCTGATGATAACCGACTCTTCCGCTAGTGGCACCACGGTTGGCCAGAAGCTCATTCGCAAGAATGCAACAACCCTCATGACGAAACGACGATTTTCTGTGGCAGCCAAGGCAGAATTGGATTTAGAGTAATTATCCCAGATCACTCTAGACACCTTGACCTATACCAGCAGAACTATCGGCGATATGCCGAGTGTCTTGGTTGCATACCAGATGGATTCATACCGATCCCCACACCAGGACTCCCAGACATACCACTCGGTGCAACTATTCAATTCTAGAATTTATTGGCAGAGGAAGCTTTGGGACTGTGAACACAGTGACTCGAAACAAAGATGACTATGTCTTTGCTGCCAAGGGAATCGCCGGGAAGGAAGTCGGAGGCCACATCACGTTTCCTCAAGAAGTCGAGATAATGCGCAGGCTCTCTCATGTCAGTAACCATGGGTTTCTATGAATCAATTGGTTACAAAGTGGGCTAACATTTTCAAGGATCACATCGTTAAATTTGTAGACGCCTTTATCTGAGAAAACGGCATTCAAGTTATAATGGAGCGACTGTCCATGCACCTAGAGGATTATCGACTGGCACGACCACACAAACAGTTAAGCTCTGGCGCTATCCAATCCGTGGCAAAATCTCTCTGCGGTCTCGAGTATCTCCATAATAATGGTGTAGCACACCGAGATCTCAAGCCAGAAAATATCTTAATCGCAGAGCATAACCTTGATACATAAAGTCTTTCAAGCCAACGGCCAGAACTGGAAACCTTGCGGGACGCCTTATTACATTGCAACAGAAATGCATGGAGCTAACCGTCTCAACCAAACCTTCCGCCGCACGCATAGACGGGCAGGTAGCCCTCCTCCCCAGAATTTGCACGGGTATACGCCTGCAATCGACATATGAGCGATGGGGATGATACTTCACAAACTTTTGGGGGGTGAATTTCAGCAGATTAATGACGGATGGTATGCCGAAGAGAGGGACTTCAGCAGGGCAAAAAGGCCAGCGGCAAGACTAGCGGCCAAAATGCTTGCTATTGACCTGGAGCAGCGGCCAACAGCGGCTGAGTGCCTCCAAGATCCTTGGTTGGCTATGGCAGACGATATCCCAGCGCAGTCTTAAGAGAAGCGTGTTCGCTCATTCTCTCCTCTTACTCAGAATGAGGCACAGCCACGAAAAAGGGCGCAACCCTCCATTCCAGACACCCAAGCAAGTTATTCAGGTGCTGAATCTTCGAGTGCTCCACAGACCTCGTTGAATTCTGCGGATGATGTAACGCCTCTTGGAACGGTTCGCCAAGCGGAAGGCTTAATCCAGGCCTACCAAGAAGCCCATGGTCGAAATGAGAGTGGTCCAGACGACGTCGCAATGCTCCTCAACTGGGTAAACGACCAATCTTCGTTTGAATCAGGATTCAGGAAGGTCGTAATTACAAGCAAGGCAAGTGCTTCGATCATAGTTAGACTTGGGTCCAGTGTCTGGCAGATAGACATTTGTTCGCCCACTCTGATCCCAAATAACGGTGTCAGTCACGTTTCCGCAGGCGCCGAAGGAAACAACGACGTTACTGTGAACAACACGGAATCAACGCAGGTGGTAATTGATCGAATGCTAGCAGCACTTGAGGCCAGTGGATTCTACAATCCCGCATTGCAAGAGCAGAACGAACTGGTTCAATTTTCTGGGCTCACAGCAAGGCAAGCAGCTCGACAGTCACGCAATGGCCCTAGCTCTACTGCTACAAATGCGAATAAAGCGCCTCATCATCAAAACATGGCTCTCCTAGGGGAAGATATACCAGATAAAGACCCCTCACAATCTCCTGAGTGGGTGATAGAGTTGGTCAATCACATTTTCGCGGGGCTAGATGACTGCACCTGCACTTTATTACTGGAAGCGGCCTGGGCAAGAGATTTATGGCATCACATACACCACACGGCGTCTGATCCATTCTTCCCCCAGCCAATCTGTCGGATGGCATGAGGTCGCGGGTGCAAATTGGTACGGTCTTAAAGCAGGGTGACTCATCTGGCAAGTCAAAGCAGAGTGACTTGTTTGGCAAGTCAAGGCAAAGTGATTTGTCTGGCAAGTCATCGTCGGAGGATAGCGCTTGGGATAGAGCCACCCTTCCAGTGACCCTGTCCCACTATGATGATCTCGCCGGCCATTGATATGGTCACGAAGAAGGCTAAGACAAAATTTTATTCTCTGCGTCTGGGAGTTCGGAAGACAAGTAGGTGGGGTCGGGTGGGGAGGCGGCCGGATTCTGTATATCCCGTTGGAAATCTGTCGGACGATTTAACGATATGAGATTTAATATTATGACCAATTTAGCTAGATCTACTATTGATTGATCTTGACTTTCTCGCATTAGACAACAGCTAACGTCCCCACGAAAACCAAAACGCAAAACTTAATATTGCAAGCATCCGGTTTTATTCATTTCCGACAGATTTCGATTAATATCGGCGAAAGTCCATCTTAGCCCAATATCATAGAGGGCCCCTGCACGTTTCCACACCATCAATTGGCCCTTCGCAAGAGGATTTAATCAGACTCTCATCAGTATCGCCGCATCTAAACGCAGGATCGTTGACGACAAAATTGTTTCCAACTCTTGTGTGTCCTAGGTCTTCTCCTTCCAGCATATCAGCAAGTAGCTCGTCGCTAAAGTCGTCATTGGTGCATATCGCGACATCCCCATTTTCGCCTTGCGGGCCCTCGAATTTGACGCTACCGCCAAAGGATGGTCTGAAAAAGACAAAGCCCAACTGAAATCGAATATAGGGAGATGCGCATTTTAAGTGAGAAAGGCGATGTAGGAATGTGATAGAGAGTTGTGAAAGCGTCAAATGTGGAGGGTTTGAGGATCGTGCTTTTTTTGTTGTAGTATCGTTTTGGTTTGCGATGGTTGACTAGATGCGCCGGAACAGTTCTTCAAAGGTACCTACCTACCTTTGAAGAACTGTTCCGGCGCATGATTATTGATCTTATGCAAGTTATCACAAGTGGGTAACTTGATCACTTGCCGACTTTGTCTTTGTGCGACAGTAATGAGCCTAAGATTATGATAACTGGGAGGAGTTCAATGCGCATAGATCCGACTTAGTTAATAAAACATGCAGCAGTTTTATTCTCCGTGTCACAGTGATAGCGCTGGTCGGCCAGATTATCTGTTTTGAGTTATCATGAGCATTTGTGCTGAGCTGGACGGAGACATGGCTGGGGAGGTGCGTCACGCAACCTCTCTCGACGTAAAGGTTTTCTTAAATTTTGTCCAGGCTGCCCACTGTGCGACTATAAACAATAGCATTGAACAAAAAATGACATACTTAGTTGATGATCAACCGATCATCAATACCACCATGTGTGTGTGGATGTGTGATGTGTGACAGTTTGGAGACCAGACTGAGAATGTCTACGGCATGAATATGGCAATATTTTCATTTGAACGGGCTGCTTCGTGGCGGCAACGTTGTGAAAAGGGGCTTCGCTATTGGGGCACAATGCCAAAGATTAAAGTGAGTAAATACTTACTGTGCGTTGCCGTTCTTACTTTATAATCCCGAGAACATCACAGATCGTCGACATTGGCCCGAGACCTATGCTGAGTATGAGCTCGCCAGCGCAAGCCATCTTGCTCTTTCTGGCTCTTTTCAGGTAAATACTGTAATATGGAATCCACAATAGCAATGGACGAGAGTTCCTTCTTTCATTCCTTCCATCCTCTTTCCACCAACTCACTCATCGCTCTTTCCTTCACTGGCTGGCTGCCTACCACCTTTCCTCCGATCGGTAAGTGCTATGTCAATCAAAATAACTACACGTTCTACTTGTCAACCATCCTTCTCCGTCATCCTTCATCAATATCCTCACCACCATCCTTACTGTATATCCCGCTCCTTCTTACTGCGCAGCCATTCTTTCCAACCATCTCCATCTCCTCATTTTGCGCTGCTTCTTGGTATCCCGAGAATTTTCTTACCTGATATCGACTATTACCGGCCGTTCAATATTCATTCCTTTGTTACACTTTTCCCCTTTTAGGATATAGATTTGGATATAAACAATCGGGAGAAGGCGATAATTGGTTTGGGATGAGGTTGGACAGAAGACTGTGCATTCTCTGGGGTCACCTGGAGTGATCTTCTCCCATCGCCGTCGACACTTCTACTTTACGATACGCGGCATCTGCATCTTTACGGTCCCAATAATTTTCATTCTCGCTGTTCTATGTGGCCCTTGACCCTACACATAAGATCATTGTGGGCGCTGGAGGCTGGGGAACAGCGAAGGATTCCCCTCTGCTCAAGTCTGAGAGTCAAATACTTCCTCCCGTTACGCAGCTCTAGAATACACACCTCCGCCCGACCATGCATTCACTACATCTAGCTTCGAGTTCAAACACTAGGCCCTCTTCCAGAACGTTAGATGCAAACAATTCCACGAAACAACATGGAATTCCCACTCAAACAACTCGGATAAAACAATACAGTCCGTCCACCCTTTATGATTTGCCTCCATCGGCAAATGTCCTGAGGGCGACGAGCAATCAGAGTCACACATGCGCTATCCGCGGTAGAAGACGAGCTCCCATAATATCATTAACTACTCCCATGCAGTCTCGCAGACTGCCTACTCCACCAGGAGTAGTCGGCGCCACGAGCATTGGTGCAGCAGAAGCTATCCGTCAACACAATTCTCGGTGGTATGCAAGAGAAAGCCTCGAAGAGGCTTTCTACGACTGCCCGGAGACTAGCGTTGGGTTCTTAACGCCGTCACTCAACCAATCGCACAGTGATCCGCCGAGTAGGGATGACGATGACCCAACTGAAGATACGATTCGTATCTTCTGCTGCTATCTGCCAAAGATTCATCTTCCGCAGCTTCAGGGTATTCCTTGCTTGGGGTTTTCACTTGCAAAGGGTAGGCCGATAATAGTAAGCGCCAGCAGTCATGCTGCCCCTGTTGAACTGCCCCCAAGAGCCTGGCGCAAGAAGTCAGCTTCTGTTGCGAATGATGAGGCCATTCCCTCTCTTGGAAATTCGAAACCTGTTACCACTATGGTGAAAAGGTCTATGAGCTTCATCCGAGGCACCAAGGTTGGGTCTCTTGGCCGAAGTGATGGCACTATTACTGTCTGCCGCAATGCATTATTCAGCCGTGGGAGACGAACCGATACGGTATCTGAGATGGCTATAAAACGAAATACCCAAGGCAATATACGACATCAGATGGAACTGCCCACAATAGTCACTCTCCGACGCGCCATTGCTGTTCTAAACACTCTCGCCCAGCCCCGTATGGGCCATTTCAGCGCTGACATGACCGACTCTGCCATGCTTCGCGAATACCGTCGCAGCATTCGATCGATGGCATTGCCGGACGAGTATTTGATTACATCTGAGGAGATTAGAAGTTTGAAAAACCAGATGAAGAGCAGATTTATTGAACCGGTTCCAAAACAGACTACCTTGCTCAAGAAGAAGAGATCCTTGGTTGGGCTTGGTTGGAAGGGAAGAATCAAGAAATCGAGCAGCGGATCCGTGGTTTGGTTTGGAGCTCCGCGCAAAAATCTCCAGTCGAGAGCCGCGCTCTCCATTTCAAATACCTATACAGAATCGGTGTCAGTCCTAAACCGCGGGCGAAGGAGCCATTTTGTGTCTCATATTGCTCAGCGAACGAGCATTATCCCCATGCTGATGACGGGGAAGAGTATATATGAACTAGTCTGGGAAAATGACGGCAAACCGCAGAACCTGTTTTCGTCGACATGGAGCCTTGCGACTATTCTGGCGCAGGTCGATTTGGCGACTTGGTCTCGTAACTCATATCGCCAAGAGCCCGACCCAGCCCCCATTGAAGATAGAGCATCATATGACGGCGGAACTGCAATCACCGGTATAAAGAGAACATTTAAGACCACCTGGGAACACCATTCCGAGAAGGCTTCAGATGTCCCTTATGACATCGACAAATCTCTCTCACTCTCCGAGGTGAATATTCCAAGCTATGTGACTCAGCAGTTTTCCATCTGCACACCAAAACCCATCGCCGATGGTGTATGGCTCCCGCCAATTTCGACCTTTGAAGCACCATTGATTGAAATTCCGGATGCCAATCTACACACCTCGGCGCTGGACTCCGGCCCTACTGATAGCATTTGGAAACATTACCATGTCTCTTTGAATACACAATCTTTGCATCCACTGTTAGGAAAACAAGGGTTAGCGGCAGCGGTAACTACTTCGCAACCCAAACCATCGCTATGGGGACATTCCACACAAAGTCTAGTGAGAGTCCCAGTAGGCTCATGGCCAAAGCCGTCACTATGGAGCAGCGACGTCGCAGTCTCGGGTCAGATGAATGTCACATGCGGTGGCAGAGAGTCAACAGCAGAAAATACTGCGAGGCTATGGAAGCGAGCCTCAGCGCGTCGTCTGCGAAGTACTCTGGGTATGGGAAGCGGTGAGAGCTGGAGACGTGTGGTGGGCGTAGAAAATATCAAGGATGCGGAGATCGATAGTGCTCTGTTATCTGTTGCAGAGACCCTGGATGATGTGTCTATTATCTCTGAAGATGTGGAAAGTGATGGGTCATGGAAGAGAGATGCAATATCTCGGAAAGGGAAAAGGAGGTTGTTGAGGAGGATTAGCCAGAGGGCCGGGCGTACCCGACAAAAATTGATTGCGGCACGAGAAGAAAAAGCTAGGCAGGAGACAGAGGATGAAAAAGACAAGGGGGGAGTTGCTGAGGGCGATTATCCTTCTGAGAAGGCGGTCGACCAACGCGGGACGCTGGAAGAGAAGTCGAAGTATGCGGGACCGGGAATAGTGGATGAGAAGCTACGACCACGCCTAGCAGGAGCTATATGAATTTGTATGGAAGCAACAGAGCTGCTGATCGGAAGACTGGGGATTAACTGCCCCTGAAGCTCGAGGGTGGATCGCGGACTAAGCGTTAGTGTTACTACGATTGTGTAGGGTGGCTGTATTGTAATGCAGACGACTGTCATATCACCAATAAAAATTGCTGGGACTAAAGGATAGAAAGTGGCATCAATAACGTAGGTCGTGGCGAAACGGGACGGATGGCGTAATAGGACGCTTTGCCACGGCCACCCGCACCCACGAAACCACCAGACTACCACTACCACCAAAAATTGAAAAATAGTTCTACCATTATTATGCCAATTCATCTAAATCACGTCTCATCTATGTTGTAGGTCTTGTAGTTTTCGATTTTTTGCTCTGTTATGAGGCTCTTGTATGTGTCAAACCACCCCCTTAACACCTCTTTTGTAGCCCTATTCATCCTTTATGCCTCAACCCTCCTTCCTAACTTAACACGCAAGTTAGGGTGCCTTTGAATAAATCGCAGAACCCAATCTTGCCTAAGAGGTAACTTGGGTATTTGAGGTTGAAGTTGTTAAGTTAATAGAGCTTCTAATTCCTCTGATTTTCGACTTTGCGTACCATAATTGATTGATAGGTGTGTTAGGTGACTACTCCAATTTGGTGGAGTGCAGGTGGCCGTGGCAAAGCGTCCCGTTACGCCATCCGTCCCATTACTCCACGACCTACGTTAGGTCGCGCACTAGACTGGTAGGAATCAATTATTATTACATTCCATCCGATTACTTGGGAACTGCCACTTTCATTGGCTTGTAAGATGGAGAACATCATACGTCTGTGCAAGTCTTCTCAGTTGGATACATGATCTGGTCATCTATATGTGTATAACATTCTCCCATGCACACCCGTCTCCTTCCCACCCCCAAAACACCACCAAGCCAGCCGTCACCCCTCCCTTCAAACCAGTCGGCAAGCCAAAATGCCACGCCCACAGCAGACAAACAGCCCAAAAAAAACATCAACTCCTCCCTAGCAAACTAAATAATCGTGGTATAAATCATTCATCCCTCCTCATAAATCCCACACCTCGCAGCTACAACTCCTCAATCCTCTCCCACTCCTTACACTTCCCAAACCCGAACCGGGTCCTCTTCTTACACCGCTCTTTGGGGGTCGGAGCCAAAGGGGATGTCGGCTTTGGATCCGCACACACGAAGCTGAACCATTTGTAGGTGTGGCATTTTGTCGTTGTGGTTGGACCCGTAGGGTTGGGCATGGCGGTTGGGACGGAGGGGGGAGAGGTGAGCGGGGGTGGAGAGGTGGGGTTGCGGCAGCCCCACCAGCCGGGGGTGGCGCAGGTGGTTGTGGGTGGGGGGCCAGTGGGAGAGGGGTCGTTGCAGCCGCCGAAGTAACCAGGGGAGGTGCAGGTTGTTGATTCTGGGGAGGTAGTGACGGGGTCAGTGAGATCGTTGCAGCCTCCGAAGAAGCCGGGGGATGTACAGGTTGTAGAGGAGGTAGGAGGAGAGGTAGTGACTGGGTCGGTCAAGTCGTTGCACCCGCCGAAGAAGCCCAGGGATGTGCATGTTGTTGAAATTGTGCTAGTGGTGGTGGGGGATGTAGGAGTTGGAGTTGGGACGGCGGTTCTGGAGGGGGTGGCGGGGGTTGTTGTTGATGTTCTGTCGTTGCAGCCGAACCAGCCGGGTGTCTTGCACGTTGTTGTTGTCGCGGTAGATGTGGTTTTGCTTGTCGCCGTTCCAGTTGCGGTCGTCGTTTCATCGAGACATCCCCACCATCCGGGTGTTTTGCATGTCTCCGTCCTCGTACGCGTCCTTGTAGACGACGTCTTCGATTTCGTGGTTGTGGTTGTCTCGGAGCTGTTGCTCTCGTAGAACTTCCATAGCGGGCAGTCAACGCACTCCGGTGTGATGACACATTTCGGTCCGGTGTCATATTTGACCAACACCGTGTCAATGACGGAGCGGATCGAGTGAGAAGAGAGGGAAACGCGCCAACCAAGATCGCCTACGACGTCGTAGGCGCACTCTTGGCCAGAATGACAGGCAGTTTCCATGGCGTAGCCAGCGAACGAGCAGAGTGATGTCACCCCATTACAGGTCCCAAGGAAGACGGGGTCGGCGGTGTGGCCAATGTGGTAGGTCCCAGTATATCCGCGTCTTCGTAGTTCATCACCACCCATGGGTGGTGGCAAGGGTAGTCCAAGGCGCTTGGCTGCAAGGTTGTCCGGAGGAGACTCAAAGGTAACAGTTGGTAACCCATAGGTCATTCCAAGCAAACTACTCACGGCACCTCCAAGGGAATGGCCGCTGACCCAGATGTTGGACGTAGGGTATAATGCAGTAACGTTTGAGTATAACTCTCGTGCTGCTTGGTAGTACCTGTTCTCTTGCCGCAGGTTTTGGACGACGCAGGTGTTGTTGCAGGAGTATGTGGATGTTGCGCAGTCGCAAACCTTTCGCCACGTCAGCTGACCCTGTTGCCCACAGCAGCAGCTGAAAAATAGGTTGTCATTCTCCTTGTCATCCTTCGTTGTCTCTTGTCCATCAAAGACAGCCATGCTTGTGCCCTTCAAGCTGATGATTATTGTCGAGTTCTTGTCATTTGCCCATATATGTCCCCGGAGACCGTCTCCTTCCCAGCCAAAGTCCGTTGAATTGTGGAAGTGGCTAATGTTCTCCCAGCCTCTTAGATTGGGTTCCAGGACATATGCTGCTGCTGCCATCTCTGCCATGCTGACTACTGTTGCCTTGTCTGAAATATCCGGCCCCTCGGTCTCATCCACTGTCCAGGCAGATGCCGATAGTGATACTACCTCTCCATGCTCTCGTGCTGCTGCTATCATTGGGTCTATCACTGATGGCCTTCGATCCGCTAACCGTTGCATCTTCAGCGGCGCGCTTCGGATCATAAGTGGAGGCAACTCTTGCGGCCGGCCATCCTCGGACGTGGTATATAACTGTGCTTCCGGATTGAGGACATCCTGCCGCCTATGCAACGTTGGGTATCTGCTCCCGCCATGATGGAATATATGCCGAAGAGACTAGACACACGGATTCTGTTAGCCCACTGCACTCACTGTAACTACAATAGGCTTCCACAGCAAGAGCCGACTTACGAATCGTTCAGCGCCACCCTGTGGGTCGTCAACTGCCTGACCCGGGAATGACGGCGGAATAGCTGGGAGCCCCTCCCCTCCTAGGTGTATTTGGGCTCCGTTGTCTTGTTGGGCAACAACCGGAGTGTGCAATGCTAAGAACGATAACAACAGTCCGGCTGTGACTCTGCCCGCCGAGCGGCACTTGAAAGAGAGGTTGCCGTCTGAAATCATCGTATAATATAGGGACTATATGGCCTAGAAGTCGCAGCAGGGCCCCGATCTGCTACGTCTGATGTTATTTCAGGCCTGCAGAAGTCGTGTTCTTGTGTTGTGAGGTGGTGAAGGTTGAGGGCTGAATGCCGACGGTATCGATAGGTTGAGGCGAATCGATGGGTACTGCCTGGGTTGGCTGACCAGCGCTGTGTGACGTATGGTGGGGCGCGATTTGATTGGCTGCTGGCCCCGATACGCGTCCCTCACTGGTCCAGCACGTGACCCATGGCTGCCACCTGTGAAGACAACATAGTTGGAGTGTACAATGAGAAGCATAAAGCGCAGTATTGTTAGTATATAGTAACATCTGTGAAGCCAAATAAAATAAATAATATACAGCATATATCAGAGCTATGGGCCATCATAGATGAATAACTCATCGTTGTCTTATCAAGTGTCGGTGGATAAGATAAGACTGAGGATCAAGGCCGTAATTTCCATAGCTACTCTGTCCCATCCCTGGAGACACCTCTCGAGAATCAACATCACTGCCTCAACGGCATGGAATCACCCTGTGCCATGCTAGAACTGCTATAAAGCATTGAGCTGTTATATTTCTTCACACACTCTCTCGTTTTACAGCTCCTTGGTCCCTGACGTTCCGACGTGCATGACGATTCCCCCAAGCACCTCCCCAGGTAGCACGCACAACTAGGCAAGCTATCCCAACTCTACTCTTCAGGGCGATCTTCTAACAAGAATCATCCACAGGCCTCCAATGGCACCAAAGACGCCCAACAATGGCGATGAACCAGGCCGACGGCCCCTTCAAGCCTATAACTCGTTTCCTCGAATCGACTCCGACCCCAAGGACCCCTCACGACGGACTAGGGCCAGTACATCCGATGGCTCCAGCCCAAAAGCCAGTTATGAAAAGGACGCTGAATATTCGAAACAACCATCCGAGTCCGATTCGATCCCTAGCACAACCGATCGGGCAAGGAAGGGGAGCGATAAGAGTGGTGAATTAGATACCTCGGAGCTTCCGTCAGATTTCGATGCACTTCCAGTCGAGCTCATTAGCTTGACGGATACGTAAGACTTTACATAGCAGTCAAGTGTGCATATATTGACTTAAGATAGCTTCGTCGATTCCCTATCAGCGAAAGTCCATGCAACTCCTCCGACAGTCGACAGGTTATCCATGCTGATGCAGGACTTCTACGTCCTAGCTGCCACCCATATCAACACGCACATATCAATACTCAGTTCTCGTCAGAATCGACGGGCCTCGCCTGCTGCTTCAATCTCTTCCAAATCATCTGCTGCCAGCAGGATAAGAGCGAGGGCGGCACCAATCGGCACCAAGGATCGGCCGAAAGCTTTAGAACCTCAAGACTCCGATCAACAACTTCTGACAGTGGAGGAAATTGCGGAGAAGAAGAAGGCGAGGAAGGTGCTAGAACACAAGCGGTTGGCCTTGGAAGAGGCTGTTGAGCGGACAGTATGTGACAAGGTGTATAATAAGATATGGCGGCACCGGAGCACACAAGACGAAGCGCAGGATGAGAAGCTGCGTTCGAAAACAGCAGCGCTGGCCGTTGTGGGTATTGGACTGACAGATCTTGGCATCGACCTGGGCGGAGAAACCAGTTCAAATGACACTTCTAAGGAGGAGGAAGTGAAATCCTGGCTCGAAGGGGCCAGGCAAGAGCTTCTTCTGATGAATTCCGATACGTCGCCATTGGGCAAACTCCAACATCTCAAGGCTGCACACAAGTGCATAGTCGAAACACTCTCGCACTTCCACCCTTCCTCATCGGCAGACGAAATAATGCCAATGCTGATTTATACCTTGATCACCTCCCCAACCGAAGATTTAAACGTCATCAGCAATCTATACTTTATCCAGCGCTTCCGCTGCGAGTCTAAAAT